TCCGGACGCGGGCCTGCCCGCAGGCTCCGGTCCCCGGGGGCACGCTTCGGGCCCGCTGGTGGTGACACCGCCTGGATGTGTTTTCCGAGGGTTTTGGTGGTGGTTTTGTTTTTTTTTGGGGGGGGGGCGCTTAGCAAGTGGCGCAGTGAAGGTGTATTGAATTGGGTCTGGCACTGCCTCCTGCGACCTGTCTTCCCTGTTCGATTTGATGGCCGACCCTCCCCTTCAGGGTTTGCTTTGACCTCCTCTGTAGCAATGCACCCCCCATCCGGGAGTAAATAAGTTTAGGAGCTAGGAGATATACATATATAATATATATAATATATATGTATATCTTTACCTTTGGTAGTTTAACAAGTATTGCTGTAAAATGCACATATTGAGAAAGTGAGGGAAATTATATGTTAAATGGTCTAGTAAATATCAGACGAAACTTTTCACAACTGTCACATGTAAATGAGTGCGAATAAAGGACTAAGCCACAGATCAGGAAGAGAGAGAGCGATGTGTAGGATTTAAATACCTTGCGTTAAATTGAAGTAGTTTAACTCTGAAGATCAGTTATTGAACTTGGAAGTCTATGGAATGCACTTTTTTTTTTCCAAGTGACCTATTTTGTGTCGTCATTAAAAGCAATCCATTAGATCCAAATCAGGCAAATGAAATGTGGTTCTTTATATATGTATTTGTCATTTCCTCTGAAGGGAATGAAATATCAATCACTGTCATCCCCATTTTTATTGTTCTGAAGACTAACAGCTTCTTCATGCTCCATTCTGATAAATTTTTAACTACTATGAATTTTAAAGACTTGAAAGTTTGAGCATTTAAAGTTGACCTATAGCCAGGCACTGGTGGCTTATGCCTGTAATCCTACTCAGGAGGCTGACATCTGAGGATCACAGTTGCAAGCTAGCTGGGCCAGGAAAGTCCATAAGACTCTGATCTACTCATAAAAGCTGGAGTGGCACTGTAACTCAAGTAATAAGTGTGGAGCACTAATCTTGAGCAAAAGAAGCCCAGGGACAGTGCCCCAGCACACACACATACACAAACATAAACAATAAAGCCGACCTACAAATGCAAAGTCTAGCTTTTAGGGTATTGAAAAGAACATTGTTGGGAGTAAAATGTACACAGATTACTTTTGAGAAAATTTATCCTTTAAAGTCAAGTAACTTTTTATCTTGTTTGATGGCCCTATACCACAGTGTTTTTATTGTATGTATGTATGTATGTATGTATATACACACCTTGAGGAATCAGTGCATGAAGTCAGATTCTAGACCTGCCTCCTACTATCTTTATCTTGAGCAGTTCTTGAACCTTGCTAAGTCTAGGCGTTCTGTAAATTGGGGTTAATAACAATACTTTATTTGAAAGGATTCAGAGAGATAATGCATCATTTCCTTAGAACATACATTCTGTAACTTATTATATTCTGTCTTCAAATCACCACTAATATTGTCTTTCTGGGACTTACTATTACATAGGTCCCTTAAACACCTTTTCAAACTTACTCTGCGCTAAGAGGAATGACTGCACCATTTTTCTGAACTATGGCATTCAAATCCTGTAGTGAGAACTTCTCTACAGAATCCCCAAATTGGGCAAGGATGGTGGAGATTTTGGCAGATTATGGCTTCATCTCCTCCCAGCACTGAGGATATTATTACAGGTAAGTGTGACATGAGCATCATTCTATTGAAATAGGCTCTCCACATTCTAGTTTTATTTTTCTATTGATGTTAGTAAATAAGTTAAAGAGTACTGATAGCACAGATTTTATTATTTTGTGAATGGCTAAGTATGTGTATGTGTGGGTGAGTGAGACAGAAACACAGATACAGAGACAGAGACAGAATTCTGTGTTGAGAGTTTCAAGGTAGTTACCATTATCCACAACTAATTACAGAAAGTTTGCTATGTTGAACACATGTAGGTCCATGTTTTTTGAACTGAAGTTTATGAAAAATGACAAGCAAGTATCAGAGCTGTTCTAAACCCTCTAAACTTTCCTAGCCTTCTTCCACTTGCCCTTTCTTTGATACACTTTTGATCCTTTATGGTAACTATGGCACTCCTTCTGTATCTAAATATCTTTGTTTACCACCTGCCAGTTCACCATCACTCACATTAGCTTCTATTTTCAACTTCTTAAATTAGGACCTACTGACAGATACTAATTTCCTTCTTCTATTTTACAGATTTGTCAGTTATAGGCATATAACCTTTTACTGCCTTTTTTTTTAGTCTCCCAGATCGATTAGAATTCTCTTATAGATATTGAATTTCAAACTTATTCTTTTAATCATTATACAACATAAACTACGACACTTGTATTCCAAAGGCAATTGTATAGACATTCTCTTTACTTTTTCCTCTTTTGTTGCTGGTCCTTGGACCTAGACTTTCTCAGCTTTCCTGCTCACAGTAGGTGTTCTACCACTTCAGGCACACCTCAGCCTGGCTTTTTGTTGTTATTTTTGGAGATGGAGTTTTGAAGATTTTTCTAGCTTCCAACCGTAATACCCCCCTCAGCTCCCTGTATAACTAGGATTACAAGGGTCAGTCACTGGTGCCTGGCCTATACTCTTTAATTTTGAAAAGATAGTGTTATATTAGCTTTTGACATATCATATACTTTTCAATTGTAGATTATGTCCTAATCTTTTGAGAAACAGGTCTACGTACTTATAATGAATTAAATTGAAAACAAAAGATAGCAATTTTTTATTAATCCCTAGGCTAGAGAAGGGAACCCAGTGGCATCAACTAATTTGACAATGTACTATTTAATTTTCTATTTAATTTTTTTTTTTTTTTGGTAAAAGACCGGGACTGGAACTCAGTATCTGATCTTTTGCTCATTGGCTGGCACTTTTAACAACTAAGCTGTGCCTCCAACTCCTATTTAAATCAATATGTAAATTACAATCTATAGATTAAGGGTCACTATTTCTAAGAAATATATGACACAAAATTCCTATGTTTTACATCTTCAATGAAAGGAATTCCTTTCTTACCCAAAACTATAAACCCTTTATTTAGTACTTTTGTAAGTTTTTTTCCTTAAATGAAAAGTATTGTATTTAATAAATGAACATCCAAAACATTCTGTTAGTCAGGTTTTTTTGTGTGTGCTAGATTAACAGCAAAAGCTGTCAATCTACAAAGGCAATAGTTAAATAGATACAAAACACACATAAAAAGTATACCGTCTTCAAACCCTCCAGAGAAACATCTCTTAAACTTAAGCTTCACTCTATATATCTCTCAGACTTACTGGGAAGATCATTTCTGCTCATAGTTGCTCCAGAATATCTTGCCTAAATAGGAACAATTACCAATTTATAAGGTACAATTCCCATATCATATGTGTCTGTAATACCACTTAAAGCATAGAAAGTGCTTAATAAAAGCTGAGTTATGGGCCGGGCGCCGGTGGCTCACTCCTGTAATCCTAGCTACTCAGTAGGCTGAAATCTGAGGATCTCTGTTCAAAGCCAGCCCAGGCAGGAAAATCTGTGAGACTCTTATCTCCAATAAACCACTAGAAAACTGTTAGTGGCGCTGTGTCTCAAGAGGTAGAGTGCTTGCCTTGAGCTGAAGAGCTCAAGGACAGGGTCTAAGCCCAGAGTTCAAGCCCTATGACCAACAAAAACAAACAAACAAAAAGCTGAGTTATGTACGTAAAACTAGAGGGTAAAAAAAATTCAAGCCTACTTTTACTTAGCACCTGTATTGTAAATGCTTTATTGGAATACAGTTGTGCCCACTAGTTTATGTATGGCTAATGAAGTTATGACAGTTGGCAAGTTTGAAATTTGTAGAGTGGCCTGACATGCTCAAAACCTACACAGCAGTTGATGCTACAGTCTTGAGAAACAATTTTGTTTTTGTTCCAGAAGATGATTGGATGAGAGTAATCTTCTTTACTAATAAATAACAGATTATACATATTAACCACAACTATAAAATACTTTCACAGCAAAACCTAGATTAGACTTGATATTTGAATAACTGGGTACTATATAGCTTTGTCAAGTTGGACGTATAAAATTAACCATCACTTATTTATCACTACTTTGCCCCTAAGAGAATTAGAAAATTTTCTTCAACAGGATTAAATACTTGTGACAAAGACGTTATAACCCAGAAATACTAAAATACTCGATATCTTGTTTTTTTAATAAAATATTTGCTGACCTCTGAAGTCATAAAATGAGGTTGAACTGACCAGTATTCCTCTAATAAAATAGACACACACATTCACACGCACACACACAGATGAATGCACACAAGTACACTAGCTGTTGAGCCACAGCTCCACTTCCATCTTATTTGGTGCTTAATTGAAGAGAATCTCATTGTCTTTCCTGACCGTGTTGGCTTCAAACAGTAATCCTCAGATCTTAGTCTACTCAGTAGCTAGGATTACAAGCATGAGCCACAGCACCAAGTAAGGCATAGAATTTTTTTAAGTTTGGCATGTGATATCATGCATCCTAGGTATTTTTTTTATTTGGTTGTGGGGCTTGAACTCTGGGCCTGAGTGCTGTCCCTGAGCTCTTTAGCTCAAGGCTAATGTTGTGTCACTTGAGCCGCAGTGTCACTTCTGGTTTCCTGGTGGT